AGGAGCCGATGCAGAGGCCATGGAGGGGTGCTGTTTACTTCCCCCCACAACACTCGCAAATTAAGAAAATGTGCTACAGGCCTGCTTACAGCCCGATCTGTGAAGGCGTTTTCTCAACTGAGCTCCCTCCTCTCGCACTATGTAGCTTGTGCCCAACTGAATTAAAACGAGCCGAACACGGGTTTAAATGTGCTGCTGAGAAGTAACGGTTGTCTCCTCAATTATCTGGAGTCTGTCCTTGAAGAAATAATGAGCAGCCCCCCTCTTTCCCTTCTTTGCCTCATGGTCTTGAGGTGCTCCTGTGTGCTCTCGCTGCTAGCTGTTCGCCTGTGGTGGCGCCGATTGGTCGCGGACTGAAACCTCTGAAACTGAGAGTCAAATTCTTCCTGCTCCAAGGCTGTGTGTTATTTATCTTAGGTGTTGTCTCTTTGCAGGGTCATTTTCTCCGCTTGCTGAAAACCCTGCAGGGACCCCTCCAGGCCTGGCTTGAGCCCTGGAAACCTCAAAGCCTACCCCAGTGACACCTCTTCCAACAAGACCACACCTCCTAATCCTTCCCAAACAGTTCCACAAATTGGGTATCAAGTATTCAATTACATGAGTGTGGAGGGGGGTCAGTCTCATGAAACAAGCACAGATGTTTTGCTTTAGTAACAGAGAGATGACTGATACATTACTCATCCATTGCATTTAATCCCTTGTGTCGAGCAACAAATTACCCTGAAAATTAGTGGCTTAAAACAGACTTCTCACAGCTTGAGTCGGAGCCTAGGGAAGGCTCAGCTGAGTCATGAAGCTCATGCTCTCTCCAGTGATCTGTCTAGAGAAGTGGTTTTTAACCTGTGAGTCACAGCCCCGTCACAGGGGTCACCTAAGACCATCTGAAAACACGGATGTTTACAATTCATAGTAAAATTCATAGCAAAATTACAGCTATGGAGCAGCAATGAAAATAACTTTATGGTTGGGAGTCACCACAACATGATGAACTGTGTTAAAGGGGTTGTAGCATTAGGAAGGTTGAGAACCACTAGAGTATAAATAAAATTAAGGGGAGAACAGTCCCTGATAAATAGAATGCCTTCTGCCAGGCAGTGGTGGCTCATGCCTTTAATCCCAGCACTCAGGAGGCAGAGGCAGGCAGATCTTTGTGAGTTTGAGGCCAGCCTGGTCTACAGAGCTAGTTCCAGGGTAGGCTCCAAAGCTACAGAAAAACCCTGTCTCAAAAAACCAAAAAAAAAAAAAAAAAAAAAGAAAAGAAAAAAGGAAAAAGAAAAAAAACCTGTAAGTAGACACAGAGACAGCCTCGCCAGGAGCCCCACTATACCTGATGCTGCATCTAATAACCAGAACCCAATGACACCACTGGTACTCATGGTAATAGACATACAACTCTGTGAGCAGAAACCTGATGACACCCACTTGAGAGCATATCAGCAGAGACCAAGGGCGATATAGAGATGCCACCTTATCTGTCGTACTGCTGAAGAGTGTCCCCTGGGATCCTGACCGCCTGCTAGGACACGCCAACAGGTGAGCAGCCTTGGGGAGATAGACTCAGGGTCACAGTTAGGAACTTAGTGTGTGAAGGCTGTATGAAGACTCTCAGCATAATAAAACAGATTTTACTAAATTATATACACTTTAGGCTCATGCATTCCACAGACACTGTCATCCTTAAATCTCTTTCAGCTCCTGGCCCCAGGTTACACTTTGAACAATTTAAACAAAGACTGCTTAGTTGAGATGGGAGATTTACACAGCAAAGATATTATATATTATGGGAATTATTTTAAGTACACCAGTGTTACTTGTTGTGGGAAATTTTGATTGCACTCAAACACTCCCGAGAGTGCCAGTAAAGTTTACTTTGAAAAGAGGGCAGAGCTAGCCACTAGCCAACCAAGATTAGCCATAGAAGTTTTGGAGGACTGAAGACATAAACACCAGAAGTAGTAAGGAGGGGCTTAAAAAGATTCTTGGCTCTTTTGGATAAAAGGAGAGGTCACTGGTTACTGGTTGCTTCTTCTCCATCACTGCTCTGATCATTCAGGTTTTTACCCCAATTTTTTATTCTCTGGGGCTGCAGAGATGGCTCAGTGGTTAAGAGCACTGACTGCTCTTCCAGAGGACCCGGGTTCAATTCCCAGCACCGACATAACAAGATCCAGTTGCAGGGGATCTGACACCTTCATACTAATGCACATAAAATAAAGTTAAATAAACCATTATAAAAAATTGACTCCCAAGTTTTTATTGATGAAAGAATAATGGGGCAGATGCTTCAGTTACTCTTTACCCGGGTTCATCTTGCCCAGCTGGCAGAATGTTTTTCCTGCTAAGAGCACAGGAGACTCAATGGCAGACCAGAAATTTAGGATGCTTGTGGAGTACCTCCCAAATCTCCAACCTCCCTGCCTTTCTTTATGGACTCTGTTTTGCGTTCATTTGTTCGAAGGAATCCATGTTGGGTCAAGGGAAATGTAATCCAGCATTGGAAACACTGAGACAGAAAGATCACGGGTGGGGACAGATCTGGACAGATGGAGAGTCTGTTAAAAGAAAGGGAGATGAAGGAGAGAGTAGGGGAGGAAGAGGGTGAGGGAAGAGGGTACACCATTTAATACACCCCTTCCTTTCTGTTTTTGGTTTTATGAAGCCCTGGCTGTCCTGGAACTCCCTCTGCAGACCAGACTGGCCTCGTACTCAGAGATCTGTTTCTCAAGTGCTAGGATTAAAGGAGTGTGCCATCATTGCCCAGCAGAATTTCTTAAACTAGATTTGATTTAGCCTGTTTTATTGTCTACATAAACTTTTTTATTGTCTATACATTTTTTTGTAAACTAGTAGAATCAGGCTCTTTATTAGATCCATGTTCAGAGCTCAGGGAAAGATTGGGATGGGTGTGCACTTCCTGCTGCAACACACCAGATGGGTGATTCCACACAATCAGCTTTTAAAAATTATTTATTTTATGTGGGTGTTTTGCCTGCATGTATGTCTATGTACCACATGTGTGCCTGGTGTCAGACAAGGGCGTTGGGTTCCCTGGAAGTGGAGATACATATGGCTCTGAGATGCCATGTGGGTGCTGGGACTAACGTTGATCCTCTGCTGGAGCAGAGTGATCTCAGCCTCTGAGCCACCCCTCCAGCCCCTCATCAGTATGACCTAATGACTTTGGTGATCACTGATAACCACTTTCAAGATCTATTCATTAGATGGCTGAACAGTAATGCTCAAATTCTAATTGTTTTACATTCATTAGCTCAAATTACTCTGTATTGAAGGCCTCCGTAACGGTGTTCGAGCAGGAATAAGAGGGCTAGTGCTGCTTCCCCCTTTTATTTCTCAATTCTGACGGTTATGAATTGGTCCCCACCAACATACTAAAACCTAACAGTTTCTTTCCCTAGAGTGTGTGTAATTATGAATTTATAGATTTTTGTTTGCTCTCTAATACTATATTCAGTTCTCGAAGAGCCTCGAGGCGTCTCAGACACCACTGTCACCTAACAGTTTGAAAAGGATTTGTTTTTGTGTGAGCATGTTTTGTCTGCATATACGTCTATGTACCACATGTGTGCCTGGTGCCTGAGGAAGCCAGAAGACATGAGATCTCCTAGAACTGGAGTCACGGAGAGTTGTAAGCCTCCATACAGGTGCTGGGAATAGAGCCCAGGTCCTGTGCACACATAAAATAAAGAAACACACAACTTAATCGAATTTTAAAAATCGAATTTCAGGCTTGCAACATGAATACTGGTTCATATCCTGTACCACCTGGACTTTAGTTCACCCTGAGAACAGTGAGACGGGAAGAAAGCGATGGGGCTGTAATAGCTGCTCTTTACATTATGAAAATCAAACTAACAGTTTCTGTCTTGGAGAAAATCTTGACGGTTACCATCTAAAAAATGAAACTTTTTTGTTCCCCATAGGCTTACTGAGGTTTTTGTTGTTACTATTTGGACGGGGCCTTATATTATGGTCCAGGCTGGATTGCACTAGAATTCATTATATAGCACAGACTGGCCTCAAACTCACAGCCATCCCCCTGCCTCTGTCTCTAGAATTCCGAGACTGCAAGCATGATCCACCATGGCTTCCTACAGATGTTCTTCGGCTGACAGACTTTGAGCTCTGTCATAGCAAATATGGAAATCTACATGTGACATTTAGTGGCCTGGCTTCCAAATGCACAACTGCATTTACAGCACAGAGGAAACCATTTCAGAAAGCAGTCTGAAAACTGCAGCAACATCAGAAGTAAGTGGTGCCGCTGCGGGTGGGAGACAGACAGATCCGCCACGCAGAGAGAGCTGGGTATAGAGCTTATTTATTGGATACTGAGAGGCGTATAAGGGTATGAGGGTTATGGAGGGAAGAGAGGTAGTAGCATTAGTGAAAACTACTTGCAGCAAGGGGCTGGAGCAGTTGAGAGTGCTTACTCCTTTTTAAGAGGACTTGGTTTGGTTCTGGGCACCTTCATCAGGAAGTGGATAACCTCTGCAACTTCACTTACAGGGAAGTCTGACAACTCCGGCCTCTGCAGGCATGCACGTGGCACACATAAACCCACGCAGGTGTGCGCATGCACACACACAATTGTTAAATCTTTAAAAAAATATTTATACTGGTATGATGGTGCACACCTTTAATCCCACCACTCAGAAGGCAGAGGCAGGTGAATCTCTGTGAGTTTGAAGCCAGCCTTCTCTACAGGGCTGAATGAGATCTTGTCTCAGAGAGAGGGGCTTGGAAGAAGAGGTACAGAACATGGCAGGAGTACAAAGATTAAGCTGAAAACTATCAGTTAGGATGCTTTGAGTATAAGTTACAGCAAATTAACCGATGACAAGAGCTGAATCACCGGGACACACACGTGGTGATAAGGAGACACTCAACACCTGCAAGTTGTTCTGAATTCTACACATGTGCCATGGCAAGCACATGCATTGCACACACACACAGTAAATAACAAAATGAAAAAAAAAACATTGAAAATGTAATGTGGTTTTTAATCTCAACCATGAAGCTCACAGAGAGAACAGGTACCACAGGTACAACAGAGCTCTGGATCCTCAAATTGGCTACAATAGGGGAGGGTGAGGCCCTGTGGCAGTGTGCTTGCCTGCAGAATGTCAGGGGCCCTGGGTTCCATTCCCAATATTGAATGGAATAAACACAAAGGCTACTGCTGTCTCAGCTGCCATGCTTTGACAGACAGACCCTCTCTCAAAGAAGAGAGATTTCGCTGGGTCCTTCCTGAAGAGCTACAATCCCCATTACCAAGATTCACAAGCCCGGAGACAGGGTGGGCATCGATCGCCTGGCCTATCAGATCCACAGGCTCCGATCCTATAGGGTCACACAAGGAGGGACAGCTACTTAGTGGAAGCTGTGTCCTGCTCAGGTCAGACCTTTACACACCCAGTGTCCAGCAGATGGCAGCGAGGTGCCTGGACACAGCAGCTCTCCCTGGCTTCCATGGTCACTGTAAGAATATAGTGGTGAGGAGAGCTCAGCTTGAGTTACTGGTACTTGTTAGTGCCCAGAATGGGTGCTGGGAACCAAATGCATGTCCTCTACAAGAGAAGCAAATGTCTCTTTAGCACTTGTTTTTGAACTTTAAGACAATCCAGGATGGCCTAGAACTCATCTTCCACCTTCTGAGTACTGGGATTATATGTATATAAATTCTTAGAAAAGCAATAGTCTAAGTGCTGGAGAGATAGCTCAGTGGTTAAGAATACAGGCTGCTCTTCCAGAGGTCCTGAGTTCAATTCCCACCAACCACATGGTGGCTCACAATCATCTATAATGAGATCTGGTGCCCTCTTCTGGCCTGCAGGCAGACAGGCACGCAGAATACTCACTAAAAAAAATGTATAATTTTTTTTAAAAAAGCAATAATTACACACCAAAGACTATCTCTATCTAATATTAAATTATTATAACACATAGTAAATAAGCTGGCGTGTGACTCAGTGGTAGAGCACTTCCCTGGCATACACAAGACATAGGCTTGATCCCCAGGGCCATAAAACACAAAAAAGGGGAAGAGGAAGAAAATGACTACAAGTTGAGAAAAGCTACCAACTAAAGACATGGATATTATCATTAAAAATTATGCAGTATGATTATGGGGATACAAAATGATATGCTAAGAAAAAAAACAGAAACAAAGACTGGATAGTCAATTACCTATTCTTGTAATTTTTGTCTTTCTATCAAATCAAAATTGTGCAAATGACTGCAGGATCTAAAAGTGCAAGTCTTTCCCCTGGATCCATCCACATGCGGGTCAGTAATAAACGCAGCGGGTGCGATGGAACGGGACTGCGCTCATGTCATCCCTGTGGTCGCGGGCGTAGTCCCACAAGTGATAATCCAGAAGGATGGAGTTGATCTCACCCTGAGGCTTTTCACCCCTTTCTTCAAGAAGCTCCAGAAGAGAGTCCCGGATGAGCTCAACACACCAAATCGAGCAACCTCTAATTTCCACCTCTTGTTTGTCTCCATTTGAGAGCATTTCTCCTGCAATAATTAAAAGAGAGGAAGAAAAAAAAATCATTTTATAAACCTCGGCATTAATGCAAGATTACAAGTTAAATTCACAGTGACAGAGGGTGTCTGCCATGCTTCTGTCATAAAACTTAAGGCACCCAGTAATCAAGAACTCACTGGATGTGAGCATCACAATTTAACAGCTTGTTACTTTCCAGCGACAGCAGAGAGACGGAAAGGACGGCTCCAGGAGCACAGCCCAGCGAACTTCAGATGGATAAAAACCCTGTTTACATTTATTTCACAAGAGAAAATGAAAAAGTAACAGAAACTCCTCTACCTGAGAGGTAAATCAGCATGAAAGTGGCAGTCATTTTCTTATAAAAAGAAGTCACGCTCACATGAACTTTTCAATGTACCCAGCCTATTCAAACAAGTAAGATGCCCAGCCTTACTCTTCTGTAACTGTGCCCAAGCATGACAACAGGTAAGCCCAGGAAAGAAAGCTCTCTCTAAAGCCTGTGCATGCCACCTCTCTCTGATCCCACCTCCATCACAATGGAACCCACTCAGCTCAATCACCACACATTAATCACTGCATCTGTTTCCCACATCTCCATGAAACAAATTTAGATTTTAGTTATCCAGCTCTGAAATGATAATGTCCAAGTAAACACAATTTTCAATAATGGCTACATTCCACAGTGTAAACAAGAAAAAACATTTTCTTTATATTTCAATTACCCTTGCATGTTTTATTCCTTCCTTCCTTTCTTTCTTGGTTTTTTTTTTTTTTTTTTTTTTTTGAGACACGGTTTCTCATTGTATCCCTATCTGTCCAAGAACTCACTCTGTGGACCGGGCTGGTCTCCACTTCACAGAGATCTGCCTGCTTGTGCCTCCTGAGTGCTGGGATTAAAGGTGTGTGTGTTACCATGCCCCATTCAACATGGGCTCTTTCTCCTTGTAGCCCAAACTGCTCTGGAACTCCCCACCCTCTGCTTCTGTCTCCTCAGTACAGGAAGCCACCGCCTTGCCCAGCACATAGATCTCAATGCCAGTGCTCTGTTTTGGAAGCAAAGGAGAGTTGTTTGTAAACAAAACCAAACAGCAACAAACCACAGAGGGGCAACGAGGGGCTGAAGAGATGGCTCAGCAGTTAAGAACTCTGTTCTTCTAGAGGACCCAGGTTTGATTCCCAGCAACCACATGGCAGCTCACAACTGTGTGAATATCCAGTCCAGTGAAGTGACACCTTCACTCCAAGTCACATAAAGTTAAATAAATCATAAAAAAAAATTTAAAAAAAATAAAGGCTGCAAACCTTTGCGAAGCTTCTCCAGCAACTTGTCGGAGTATTTCAGGGCTCCAAGGTAAACGAGAATCTGCGGCAGTCTGTAGTCAGCAAACATGGTGATGCTGGAGATGTCTTCAAAACAGCCGTCCCCCTTTCCTTCCAACACACTCCATGTGTCTGCCACAAGGATCTGGGCTCGCTTGTAAAAGGCAATCCTTCTCCCCTGTGATTGGAGAATATACACCACTGGGGCTTCTGAAATCTTACTGGATTCTATTTAAAGAACGCCCAGATCACCTGGGTCTGGACCTCTACAGCCCTCTCCACCCTCAAGCCTCTCATGAAATGGTCTGCCCCCAAAGCCTCCAATGTATAGACTACAAAAAATACTGATAATTAAAATCTATTCCTAGTCTTGATCTCTGTGGCTATAATCTCCATGTTTTATATCAGATCATCTACTGAAAATAATCCACAACTAGCTCTCAGAACATACAACTACCACCTCAGAATATCTGAATTAGCAAATACCATAAATAAATACAGTTTTGTGTGTGACAGGATCACACGACAATGCCCTGGCCAGTCTGGAACTCAGTCCTCTCGTCAGCCTTCCAAGAGCGGAGGCTGGACATGTGCACCACCACATACCCCTGGAATTAATTTAAGGACAAATCCCATAGAGAAAGTCCACAAGGGTAGGAAGTGTTACTCAGAGATAGAGGACTTCCTCTGCATCCTGGAGGCCCTGATTTGACCCTAACATCACAAAAAACATAGCAAAACAAAACATCTAAAGAACTGTTGAAGATGGCTTATCAGGTAAAGCCACTTGCCACCAAGTCCAACCTCCTGAACGCCACTGTGAAAAAAAACAACTCCTAGAAGTTGTCCTCTGACATCCACATGGGTGCCTTGGCACACATGCAGTGTACACATAGGTTTGGGTGTGTGTGCACATGCACACACACAAGTAAGTGTAAAAACCGAAGTAAATTTTAAACAGCAAAAAAAAAAAAAAGATACCTAAAAACACTCCAAAACACTCCGTCACAATGAGAAATAACCTATTACCCAACTTAAGGTTTACCTACTTTTATGAAATGAACAAATATTCATTAAGGACTTTGGGGTGGGAGGAGGCTGGTTCCCTGCACCCACACGGTGGCGGTCACAGCCATTCCCAACACTGTTGCTTCTGAACTTCACAGGCACTAGGCACATACACGGCACACACATACACAGGCACTAGGCACACACACAGCACACACATACACAGGCACTAGGCACACACACGGCACACATATACACAGGCATTAGGCACACACACGGCACACATATACACAGGCACTAGGCACACACACGGCACACATATACACAGGCACTAGGCACACACATAGCACACATATACACAGGCACACACATGGCACACATATACACAGGCATTAGGCACACACATGGCACATATACACAGGAAGCAAAACATGAATGCATTCATACACAAATCAGACATATCTAAAAAAGAAGAAACTTGGGGTGGGAAAGGAGACTTCACCACTTTTCTGTGGCCGTGGCAAAGCACCATGACCCAAAGCAGTTTAGAAAAGGAAGAGTTTATTTGGGTTGACAGCTCCAGAGGGAGGTCTGGGGCAAGGGGCCTGGCCAGTGGCACACACAACACAGGAAGCTGAGAGCACAGCTCAGACACATAAATCAGAACAAAAGATATTCAGCGGCAAGGATTCCAAAGGAATTTTACAAAAATGAAACCTAGGTGTGTAGGGAGCATAAAAGAGTCATCATTTAAAAAGTACTCCCATTCAATTGTTTTGTATCCTAGAAGAAATATTACTAAAAAAAACAGTGTGGAAGAAAGAAAACATACACCAAGCTTTTCAAGAAGTTCTTTTTTCCTAAAGAAAAACTGTTATACATTCCACTCTGATTTTCATCCAACTCTGTGAACTTTTTAAAGTATTAACTGTGCTTCTTTAGCCTCAGGTGATGCCATTCTATCGAGGGTTGAAACATTTTAAAAACTGACTGGAAAACAGAAAGTGACGGGTGTGAAATGCAAATTTTGTTACTGCTTCTAGTCCACCATGAGCTAGCTTTCAATTTTAAGTGGCTAGCATTAAAAACAGCTCTGGCAAGAAAAGCATTAACTCGGAGTTAGTGCCCATTCTAAAATCCTTGGCTACAAACTCACCCCAAACTGCGCCTCATCTCTGTAAGAAGGAAAATGTTCAACGACCAAGTGCATTAACCTCTGTGCACTCTTTTCACTTTTTTGGACACAATTAAGAAAAGAGCCGCCGAACTTCTCCAGCAGAATCTTCCCAGTTTCATTGAGAATCCGATGTCGTTCTTCTATTAAAGGCATGGGCACAGCAGTGTCTGAACGGAATATATCCCGAACTTGATCAAGAGTCACGGTGGCATAGTAGGAGGCGCTGGTTACTGGTATCCCTTTAAAGACCGAATTCAGAGATGGAGAAGTTGCAAACAATATGGAATCAAATTCGTGTTAAACAAGACGGAGTGCGAAGGTGCTGGCCTAACCTGAGCATTCGAGGCAGTAGGATGGGATCCCTGTGCGTTCAAGGCCAGCATAATCTGAATTCTACACCGGCCAGGGCTATTCAGTGATTCTTTCGGAGGACTAGGGTTCAATTCCCAGCACCCACATGGTGGGTCACGGCGTTTTGTAACTGCAGTTCACGGGGATCGACGCCCTCTGTGGCCTCCGTGGGCACTGCATGCACGTGGTGCCCAGACGTGCACGCAGGCAAAAACCAAACGGGAAAAGGAAGAACCCCAAAACAAAAACCATACAAATGAAAAATAACTCTAGAATAAGTAACCAAATGAGTGTTCCGGACGTGCATCAAAAGTGCACAAATAACCCCACCCCTCGCTGTCTGCTTACTCAACCACTCAATGTGGGGCGTGTATTTCCCTTGCATAAAACGTTCTATAATCTGTCCTTTTCTTCTCCAGGCGGTGTTTGTTTATATATATATATATATTTTAATTTTTCACTTGTTTTTCTGCGAGAGGGTCTCGCTCGCTATGAGACTGGCCTAAAACTACGTTGCTCAGGCTGGCCTAGAAACCATAGTGATCCTCCTGCCGTGGCCTGGAGTGCTGGGATTGTAGACAGAAGCCACTACGCCCCACTTAAAGTGATTATTTTTTCTTTTTCTTTCTTTCTTTCTTTTTCTTTTTTTTTTTTTAGAAAAAGAAAACTGGCTTTGTCACCTCTGCTGAAGGCCGCGTTGTTTCGGTCGGGCTTTTGCTCTAGGCGGAGAGAGGGACACCTCCGGAAGCGCGCCCGGGGCTGCCGGCGGCGAAGGGCCACACCCACCTTGGTCGAGCGCCCGGTTCACGGCGGCGCACAGGGCCCAGTAGCCGGTGTATGCTGTCCCTCCGTAGCGCACCTCACACTTGCGCTCCTCCTGCTCCGCCCAGAAGGAGAAGTTGAGCGAGTCCACCATGAAGACCCAGTCGAGCGCCGCCTCGTCTGCTCCGCGCGGGTTGAGCTCGTGCAGGGCCTTCCAGTGCTCCACGCGCCAAGCCGAGGCCGCGGGCAGCAGCAGCTCAGCCGCCCTGCGCACGCCCTCGAGGTCCACGAGTACGTCGCGACTGTTCTCGGCCACGAACCTCGCGGACTCGCGGGGCGACAGCGGCGCCTCCATGCTGAGGGTTCCCTCGGCCCCCGACGCCGCGGGGAGCCTTGGCCGCTGCCACACCCTCGGGCCCACTTCCGGGTCGAAATCCGGAAGTCGCCCAGAAGACTTCCGGCCGGCCTCTGGGGATCGCGCAGGTCGTGGGACTCAAATTGCTGTCCCGCGCCGCCTGGTGGCGAGATGGAGACAGACTTCGGCGGCCGCCAGCAAGCGGACTCCCGGGCCCCTCCGCACACCCTTGGCCTCAGTCCCCAAGCTTCAGAATTAGTCGGAACATGGAGTAGACGAGGGAACAGTATTGTTAAACCTCATGTCTGGCCTTGTGCTCGACCCAGAATTTCCTGCACGTGACAGGAGTGATGGTGACCCTGGTTTGCAAGTAAAGGGGGAGGGATACACACTCATTGTCGAGGTTCCCCACCCCCAAACAATGGCCAAGGCTGAAATTTATACCTTTGTTTGCCCATCAGATTTAATGAAGGGACTGTATGAACCAACCACAGACGCCAATCATTCTGACCATTAGGTTGTGACAGGGTAGGACAGTGCAAAAGTTCCTCTGTCGTGTATTCTTGCTGAAACAATTTCAGGTTTATCTAGAATCTGATCATGATGGACAATCCCATTGACAATTACCCAACTCTATTCTAGGACCCAGAGGTCAGCAAACTGCCTTCCAGCCAACTGCTTTTCTTAGATTTTGCTATAACTACTTGCTTCTTCAAAACTTCCCTGCAACTGCTGAGCGAGGTGACAGGAGGTGGTTTCTGCCTTTAAAAAACTGGTGATTGGGCAGGTTGGTGGTGGCACACGCCTTTAATTCCAGTACTAGGGAGGCAGAGGCAAGCAGATCTCTGTGAGTTTGAGGCCAGCCTGGTCTACAGAGCAAGTTCCAGGACCGGTCCCAAAGCTACAGAGAATCCCTGTCTCAAAAAACAAAAGCAAAAACATACAAACAAAAAACCCACCCTGTGACCATTGGAGACACTCAGGACCACACCCAGGTCCCTGACTACCCAGGTGGTCCCAACTGGCTGGGATAAAGACTTTCAATTGACTATCACCTGTAAGTGGTCTTCTCTATTGGGGCTACTATTTTCAGTAATGATAGACATGTACTTATATCGTTGAGAAGCCAGGTGTGGTGTCGGCACAGCATTTATTCTCAGAACTAGGGAAGCAGAGGCAGGTCTTCAAGGCCAGCCTGGTCTACAGTGAGTTCCAGGACAGCCAGGGTTATGTAGAGATCCTGTCTCAAAAAGTAAAACAAACATAAAGGAGGAGAGAGTAAAAGAAACAGTTTAACGGGAGGTGGAGGTAGGATAGCCAAAGTCATCCTTAGTTAAGAACCAAGTTCGAAGGCATACATACATGCATACATATTCTTTCTCCCAAAGTGGCCAACTTTTCCCACCTAGGCAGCACCGTCTTCCAGTCTTACCACTGTTCATGTCTATTCAAACTCTGAATCCATTAATGGATTAAACCATTGATTAGCTCATTGATTCAGTCTTCATATCTTGTAGTCTCTGGAAATGTCTTTAGAAGCATATCCAAGGGGTGTTTTGCCCATCTAGGTATCTTTTCCTCCAATCAAAGAAAATCAGTCATCACTGTTAACATTTTATATTTTCCAATGTGTTAGCATGTAACCACTGTAATGATCTGTCCTATCCCTTTAAGAGACAAGACCCTCCCACTCCCCGCCCCCACCCCCCCCCCCCCCCCCCACTGCCCACAAGTGGATCTTCCTCCCTCTTCCAGCCTGCAAGCTCTCTCTCTGACCAGTCTCTCTTTGGAACAGGGGGCAGAGGCCTCTTCTCCTCCCCTCCTCCTTCTCTCCCACTCCTCTTTCCTTCCATAACCCACTGAATAAACTATATCCAAACCCTCTCTCTACATGGCATGCCTTTCTGTCTCTGTCTCTCACCCGCCTCAGCTCCTCGTGTGACTTGGCTGCCCCTTGTGGCCCACTGCTGCCCCTTGGGGAAATGACGCTATTTTATCTAAACCATTACAACTATCCCAACTCAAATGAGTTCCCCATTTTAAAAACTTTATTATTATACTTTATTTTACACGATAAAGTAGCAAGGAAACTTAAAGAATAATACAAGTCAGATATACTACAGAACAAAGCACTATGTGTGCTCAAGGGCCTAGCTCTCAGACTTAAATGTCAACAAATGAATCTCAAATGGCCTAAAGACACTTAAGGAAATGTTCAATATCCTTAGCCATCAGGGCAGCGAAAATCAAAATGACTCTGAGATAGCATCTTACACCAGCCAGTCAGAATGGCTAAGATCAAAACTGTAAGTGTCAGATCATGCTAGAGAGAATGTGGAGCAAGGGGAACACTCCTCCATTGCTGGTGGAAATGCAAACTTGTTCAACCACTTTGGAAGTCAGTATGGCGGTTTCTCAGAAAATTGGGAATCAACCTATCTCAAGACACAGCAATACCACTCTTGGGCATATACCCAAAGGATGTTCAATCATACTACAAGGTCATTTGTTCAACTATGTTCATAACAGCACTATTTGTAATAGCCAGAACCTGGAAATAACTTAGATGCCCCTCAGCTGAAGAATGGATAAAGAAAATGTGATATGTTTACACAGTGGAGTACTACCCAGTGTTAAAAAACAATGACATCTTGAAATTTGCAGGCAAATAGAAAAAAAAGAGACCATTCTGAGTGAGAGAACCTAGACCCAGAAAGATGAGCATAGTGTGTATTCACTCATAGTGGATACTAGCTATAAAGCAAAGGATAACAAGCCTATAGCTCATGATCCTAGAGAAGCTAAGTAACAAGGAGAACCCTAAGAGAAACATGTATAGATCCCTCTGGGGAGAGGAAATAGACAAAATCTCCTGCAAAAATTGGGAGCATAGGGGTGGAGGGAGAAAGGAGGGCAGAAGGGGAAGAGGGGAGGAGAAGGGGAGGGGTAGGAGAACTTGAGAACTTGATCTGAAATGGTCGAGATGGGGGAAGGACAGAGATGGAGAGCAAGGAAAAAGATATCTTGATTGAGGGAGCCATTGTGGGGCTAGCAAGATACTTGGCACTAGAGAAATTCCCAGGAATCCACAAGGATGATCCCAGCTAAGTCCCTAAGCAATACTGGAGAGAGTGCCTGAACTGGCCTTGCCCTGTAGTCAGATTGATGACTATCTTAAATGTCACCATAGAACCTTCATCCAGCAACCAATGGAGACAGGAGCATAGACCCACAGCGGAGCACTGGGTTGAGCTCCCATAGTCCATTTGAAGGGTGGGAACAGTGAGAATACAAGTAAAAAGATCAAGACCATGAGGGGTACACCTGCTGAAACAGCTTGCCTGAGCTAATGGAAGCCTCCCAACTCTAACCTGACAGCGAGGGAGCCAGCATAGGACCAAACTAGGCTCTCTGAATGTGGGTGACAGTTGCATGGCTGGAACAGACTGGGGGCCACTGGCAGTGAGATCAGGATTTGCCCTATTGCTTGTACTGGCTTTTTGGAACCCATTCTCGTTGGAGGGATACCTTGCTCAGGCTAGATATAGTAGGGAGGGCCTTGGTCCTACCTCAAAGCAATGTGCCAGACTTTGTTGACTCCCCATGGGAAGCCTTACCCTCTCTGAGCGGATGGGGGGTAGGAGTAGCGAATGGGAGGAAGGAAGTCTTAAGTGTCTGAGCTTTTTCTTGGCTCGAGATTTTTTTCTCAAATGGAAGCTACAAAGCTTGAAGGAATCATAGTCATTTGTACACACAAACTGACAGTGCCTACTTTTATAGATCTCCTAGAGGAGACCACAGTTTGGGGGTCCCAACATGCTTGAGAATGCATAGTCACATGTAACTGGTCACCTGGAGCACACAAAAAGCAGGCAGAGACCTGCCTCAAAAACAAGTTGGAAAGCTGGGTGGTGGCGGCACATACCTCAGAGAACTTGGGAGGCAGACAGGCAGATCTCTGTGAGTTCGAGGCCAGCCTGGTCTACATAGTGAGTTTCAGGATAGGCTCCAAAGCTATGCAGAAAAACCCTGTCTCAAAAACAAACAAACAAAACAAATAAAAAACAAGCTGGAAAGACAGAAATGACTTCAAAATCATGTGATGGCCTTCACATATGTTGGAGTACCCAAGCACTTCCACTCATTCCTACTGACAAAATGCATGATGTCCGGACAGGATAAGCAGGATACAAGAAAAAAGACTGTCAAATCCTGCCAAGACAGGGTAAACCGGTTTTGAAAATTTTCCTGCCTCTAAAAATGTTCTGTCAGTTACTCTAGGCCTTAGCCAAAGTTGGTTGCTCAAACATTGCAAATGGGACTTTGGGTGATTGATTGCCCAGGTAGCCAGTTGTCTCTGTCATTTGTTGCACATTTTGGAAGTTGCTTGATTGCACCTCCTGCTTCCTCAAGTAATATTATTTCCCTTCTCGGTCTTCATTGGGGTTGGAGACTAGATAGTTGTAGTCACTTTCCTCTCATGACCCGGTCAAGTTATTTATATACAAAACTTAAACTCATTAGGATAATTACTGAAACATTTATCATGTTTTTTGCTTGATATTGTTTATGCTGGTTGTAATTCTAATTTTTATACTTGATATTTGTTCTTATTGTATATAACTTTGTAGTAGGCTTGCTTAAAACTTCCTTATTTTGAACTTTCTTAAACAAAAGAGGAGGTGCTGTAGGAATTCCTACTGCTAGTAGCCGTTAAGTTACCCGCCCACTCGGACGTGGTCTCTTATACTATATATGCCCTTAATAAGTGCATGCCTGACCTCTTTTCCGGCTGCGGGATTCAGTTGCTGTTCCCCATTCCAGCAGAGGATTGTGATCTTTGAGTCTACCCCTAAATAACCTTTTAGTATACTCAATTCTGAGCTAGTGTGGGGTATTTTTTAGTGTCCTTCTTCAGTGTTACTTAACCTAGTGTTAGGCACTTGTCTTAGCGGTGTCACACAAACCTGACAAGAACACTTGAAGACTGTTTTACCATGGCAGCAGGAGGTTCAGCTAGCCATTCACAATGACACCTCCATTTTAGATGTTTTACTTGCCTCAATTAACCC